CTGTTTTTTCTTGATAAATGTTCAGTGTTGCTCGTGCTTTTAAATCAGAGCTGCTGTCTGAAAGAATTGGACATACCTATCTTTCCCTTGTTCAGTATTTACTACATACAGCAGTAGACAATTTAAGGGGTACGCCATAGTGATATAAATAATCAGTTGAGATTTGAGAAGCTCATGAAGTATGCAAGGCTACAATAAGAACATCAATTCTAATCATAGACTCAAATATTATGTTAGAAATGTAATACAGCACACTAAGTAGCAAATAGGGAGTGATTTGAGACACAGTCTTGAGAGTTTAGTGTTATGTGCTGGTAATTGCCTCAGACAATTAAATCCCTGTGGCTTCTTGTACACACTTCCTGAAAACCGGGTACATAAATATCCGCATGACACTGGTCTTCCCGCTAATGTTTGCATGACACCTATTCGCTGTGCCTTTTGTACAAGCTTGAACCTGGATATAATAAATCTTTAAACCAATCAAACCGCTCATTTCAAGCTTGCACATCAGGTTGACAAAGCCTGCAGGAACTCCTAACTGATAGACCTCAGCGTAGAAGTTAATGGTTATGACAGAAAAAATGATAGTTTTTAAATTCTCAAACTTCCTCGTGTGTTTTTTAACTCCTGGATGGCTTTTGGGCTATATTCTGAAACCTCTGCCACACCTCACTCGTACAAAGAAAAACACTCATGTGACCTCATCTGACACATTTGAAAGGATGAGTTTCTGGTGGTCTTGTATTCCACACATTAGAATCAACCACAGATAAACACCAGGATTTCAAAGAAGGCGTATCAGCAGATTTCCTGCAAAATACATTCACCCAAAGACACACCTCCTCTGAGGCAGGGTTAAGGTTAGACTGGGCACGTAGACGGGCCTCTCTCTGGATCAGCAGACTGAGTGTCTTGTTGCTGCAGAAAGAAGACATCAAATGCTCAGACACGAGGCCCGGGCTCTGTGACAGAAGAAATCCTGTAACTCAAACCATGTTTGCTTTGTTGTTGCCTTTATGGATTCGGCATGCTCTACAGTTCAAACAAAAAAAAAACTGTTGTTTTTTTCCACAAGGGGAAAGCCAACATTTAAGAATGTGACTACACAAAGTTTTAGACCTAATTATGGCACTTTCCACGAAACACCTTAGGAAACACAAGTTTGCTAGACTAGAGGATTTGCTGTACTTTTTTAATTAAATTTAATTAAAAATTAAAACTTAAGTATTAAGTTTTCCCTATTTGGATCTAGATGGTGCAAATGAGGTGAGACTCCTGGATCTTAGGTCAAACATTTGCTTTGTGTGCAAAGGACGGGGGCTCTTAATTAGCTTGTCCATAATGGTGCCGAACTGTGCCGGCTTCGCAATCTAAATTACAGAGAAAACAAAGTCTGAAAATGATACCCGAGACATCTATGTGTCGTTGCATTTGATGCAGCCAAAAAAAACAAAACAGCGTCTCAGATGTGTAAAACAATTTTAACATTTAACATCACCATTCAAGTAGTTTAGCTGACATTAAGTTATGTGGCAGCAATGGATCTCATTGAACACAAAGTGAATAACTTGATGAAAGATGTGCAGCTTGGTATGAGCTGTGATTAAAACATGAGTCACAGATATGCAGCCTTGCCAAACAAGCATTTATGACTGATGCGAGCTGCTGATACAACTATTGACAGTGAGAGAGAGGCTATTTACTGGCTCCAATGAGGTGTCCGAAATCACCACTGAGAGCTAAAGTTCCGGATGCGACAGAGAATGCTTACTTGAGATGAGAAGATCAACTTCAGACGGAGTACTCATTATTTGTTTCTGCAACACAATCCACGCCCTACACTGAGTGTACTTACACTGCACAGCATGGTAGCGCTAACTCAGTGCTTTGGGTTTCCTTTCCTGCTGTTGATGTGATCTCATTACTAAACTATTAAAACAAATCATTAGCCTTGATTAGCAGATTTAAGTCTTTATTACATGTGGTTTTTATACTCAAATTTGCCGTGTCTTGATTTATTTTCTAAATTTATTCAGCTGTGATTACTGCAGAGTGTAATTCTGACACATCACTACAACGCCTACCTCTTGAATGCTTCCCAGAACATGTGACATAAATCTAATGATGCAGAGCAGTCTGTCTTTTCTTTTCATTAATATGCCTTCTGGTCTGCACCTACCTCTGAAACAATGAATATTTCTTTGACAATCTATCATAAAAAAAAAAAAAGATTTAGTTTACTCAGGGGGCCCTCATGCTACACACTGGTCCTCAGCAGGCCAGGTCAAAGGCCTCAACAATAAAGCAGAAGCAAACTGAGCCAACATTATGTGAGCAGTTGGCCTGTGGATTTACAGCGTGTGTTAGAGCTTGTCTCCTCTGGCTAGACCATGTGTATGTCTAAATCATCCTGGTACTTAAAATACTCCACCTGGATGGAAATGCATGAAGTCAGTCAACAACCAGCTTGCTTTATATCATCACAGAGATCACCAGTAAATAGCGCAAAAATTACTTTAACATGTAATGTGTGTCTCTTAGGGAGGACAGAAAGGCGCAGCAGACACAAGATTTCTCTCTAAACCTCCTACAGCCCAAAGACCTGGGCAGCCCTCCAACACTGTGCAGGCATCAGAAAACTAGCGCTCCCTACTGGTGTCAAATGTTCTGTTAAGGTGTGAAGGTCTAGACAGGCTCTTCCTCTTTCACTCGTGCATACACCGTGTGTGCCATAGCTCGTCTAAGAGTCAGAGTCTTGCAAACAATCACTTTCATTAGAGTGGATCTAAGCCATTTCCTTCTTGGTTATAACTTATTACACCAAATATAGTACCATCATTACATCATTACATTCGCTACAAATGACCTTTTTTATACTCTAAGCCGCAATGGAAATAGGAAAGGAAACTGCAAAGTGATCGGTGGGTTACTCCTGCCCTTTCTGTAAAGAAACATGAAATTTATTTAGCACACTCATTGGATTGTGGTTGTGTTATACTTTTAGGCTCTTTAAATACCTCAGGTCTGTGTGATTGGCATGTTGTCTTAAACTAGTAGAACTCACAGAAGCTTGAGATACCTTACTCATGTGGGACTGCTGGATATTTTTACAAGCTCAGAATGTTTTTTGCATTTTTACATCACAGTTTTAACATACAATTTGAGACAACCCCTCTACATATTTTCTACATGTGATTACGTGACAGTGGAAATACCAGGAGCTGTGGCAAGGAGAGTAAATAAAAGATGAAAGGTACCTATTAATTCAGTCAGGCAGACAGCGCAACTTACTGTATAACTTAATTAAAAAAGAATAAAGGAAACTCTGCTCAGAATGTGATTAACAGCAGCAGGGATGCAGAAATGCCCACCCTTCCTCCAGGAAACATCAAAGACTTGTATCCCCAGATGCATGTAGACACACATGCACACACACCCTGTAATATCAATATGAATGTGTTTCGTGTCCTTTTATTTTCTGATATCATGATTAAAAGGAGCTTAAATTGCCAAGCAGAGTAAGGCACAGATTAGTCCAAAACCTGAGGGTTCAGTCAAACAGCCTGTGGGATGTAATGCAGGTTAAACCTGCCTAAATTTAGTTTACACGCCCTCTTAAACGCACAACTCACACGCACGCACGCACGCACGCACACCCACCCACCAACACACACACACACACACACACATTAAATATATGTAAGACAGTTTTCACATTTCACTGTTTAACACAGGTTGGTTCCCTAAAGGTGTTCACCTGCTGGTATAGATGGAGGATCAAACTTTCCATGTATACACCACAGGGAGCTGCTGTTACACTGCAGACCTCTGCGTAATGGATTTTTCTTTGCTACAATAAAAGGAATGGCCTTAAAAGAAACCTTTAGTCGCCAATTTGTGCATTTTTGTGTCAGCCATGCCAGAGGCCATACATGATGGTGTCCGGGCTTGCATGCAGAGCAGCGCTCTCACAAACGGACAGCGGCCGCTCTCGCTGTAAAATAGGCTCCTCAATAACCTGATCGGGCACCCTGAACAGGTGAACGTAAGGTGAAAAGGTAGTTACATTTTCTATATATATGAATTTATCAGTTTCAGGCCACAACCAGGCAAAGAAGCACCAATACAAACATAAATAGGGTATATTCAGAAAAGCAGAGACTGACACCCTGACCTCACATTATTCCTAATGAACAGCAGTTCAATTTACCCGATACAGATTTGTGTTATCCTGGAAGGGCGGCTAAATTACGGCTTATACATATATATATATATATATATATATATATATATATACTTGCCTGTTCAGAAAAGCAACTTCTACTCGAAAATATGTCCTTATTGAAAGACAATCAGTAAGTTACCTGTTCGGCTTTACGCATAAAGAAATAAGCTCTATTCTGCAGGTATTTCATCTCAAGTCATATCAAGAATAAAACTAAATAGGTCTCAGTGACCGTTACGCAAGGTGCGAACCGTCTCAGGAGTGGATAGGCTGTGCCAGACTGGCGCCGCAAATACAAACTTATTGATCGGGGAGGCTTTAGGAGGGCTGCTCTTCCAAACAATAAAAATAAATACATAAAAATAAGAAAGGCGTGGATGAACACACGTTGCGTAAACTGAACAGGTTGAATAGCATTTTGGAGGAAGCATGAGGAAAGCAGGTTTAACACCTTGCCCCCACAAGAAGCTCGGGAATTAACCTACACAGCAGTAGAGGAAGCGCTACCGAACAACTCTATTCCTGCTCGCACTTACATACAATTAATGACCACAAAGCACTCTGTTTCTCTTCTAAACTGCACAATGTTTGAGAATAATATGAAGGGAATTTAAAAAGTGTCGAATCTAATAGGCTTCTGGTTAACTTTGACTCCTCGAGAGCCTCAGAAAACGTGTCCCGGCTGCCACACATCACGCCGGAAAGCAAACTGTTTATTGTGTTTAAGTAAAAAAAACAAAAAAACAACCAACACACAAAATCAATCACTTACTTTTGACTTCTTCATATGGAACGGCAGGAGTAAATCCAGTGTGTGCGAAAGACTATTTTATTTTACTTCTACGGGGAGGAAAGGGGTTGTCATCATCCTGTGTGCACATATCCAATGCCTAAGTCAGCGGTATCCAAGCAAAGGAGAAAAAAGCCCCAAAAACAAGAAGAAGAAGAAGAAGAAGAAGAAGAACGGCAAAAAATGGGAAATCAAACTTTTAACCTCTGCAACCTGTAAGCTAATGGCGTGTGGCATCTAGCCCATCTATCTACAACACAGATCCAGACACTGAGGGCTCACAGCAGCGGAGCGGCACAGCGCGCAGAGGGAGGGAGTTAAGGCTTTATAATGATTCGTAAAGAGCAGTCAAAGAGCCGCCCTCTGACGAGCCGCAATATGAAGAGGTTCACTTCAAATCCACTACTGCCAATATAAACAGATCAAACAAGAAAACAGGTTCAGAGTTTCACTGTGCCGGTTGCTCAATAGTGAGTTTATCGCCTAGCTCAAGTGCATTTACTAGGCACTTAACCCATTGATACCCATAAGTTTGAGGCTATGCAATAATTATATAATAAGGATATAGCCTAATAATAGTTACCGTGAATTAAGAACAATGTATGTCCTTAAATGGACATTTATATGTGTTTTTTTTATTGTTTTTACGCAGGCAAACATAAGTATACACAATACACATAACTAACATTGCAGTGTTCTCATCTCTGCTTCAAGAATACATTTTAAACCATTCATACAAAACGAGATGAGGCATGAGTGTCTGTAGCAAAAACAGTCCGCATATGCATCATTAGATTAAGTATCAAATGAACCTGAAACATTGTCTCTGAATAGGTGGTACTTGTACACTTTACAAATTCAATTCATAAAATGATTTGACGTGAAAAACCTTTGGACTGTGAAATTGTGCCCTCCCCTTTTGTGCGTGTGGTGTGAGTGAGTGAGAGTGAGTGTGTGTGTTCATGTGTAACTAATGAATGAGTGACTCAGTAATTTAATGAGTCAGTGTGTGTGTGTGTGTGTGTGTGTGTGTGTGTGTCATAGAATCCATGGAGCCATGGGCATTTAAGACTTAACAAACTGTACATTGTGACATGAACAATAACTTAAAACAGAGAGAAAATAAAACGTCAGAACCTTCAATGAGTTATATGACACGACTGGTATGCCACTTACTTTTATATGTTAGGTTTGCTTCATATGTACAACAGGACAATTTAAGATCCAGTAGGTAGAATTTAGTGGCATCTAGTGGTGTAGTTGCAGATTGGAACTCCTTCGCCTCACCCTCCCCTTCCAAGCGCAAAGGAGACATTACGGTGGCTGAGAAACACACAGAAAAAAAATGTTTGGTTTGTCCCTTCTGGGCTACTGTATAATCATGCCAATTCAACCTGGTGGACTCCTTGGAAGGCGACCCACAGCATCTGTAGAACGGCTCATTCTGAGGTAACAATGAAAATTTCTAACTAAACTTAGAATTAATGCATTTTACATTACTGGCCACAGTTCCTCCTAGTACCTGGCCCCTTAAAAGAACAAAAGAAAGTTTATATTCAAAGTTTCTTGAGTCATCGAAGCCTCTCCCTGGGGCCGTCACAAAGTGAAATTAAAATCCTTTTACAAGCCTGTTTGAGTGAAAGCTTTTGCTCTAGGTGCTTTGGAGGGAAAAATGAAAGGGCAAAATATTCATATTTTTTTAATTGTTGAGCACATGAGATCTATGTTATGACAGATGACGTTTATTGGCAGAGTGCATTAACATGTTACATTCAAGCCTGTTAAAAAAGTTGGAACCTGAAGTGACAAACTGTATGCAAAGATTATGTTCTAATGGGCTTATTCTGCCAACAAAATGTGTACAGGCTGCTTTACAAGGTTTTGACACTGTTCCACACCAATGCAGTCTGGGAAGTCTCATTAGTTAAAAAATGAATGTGATGGATGTCACAGGCCCCTTTTTTGCCACAGTTTTCCTTCTTTTTCTAAAATTACTCAAATTACTCATTATACTGCGTTTTATTGTACCTAAACTGTATCCCACAAAAGTACATTTATTATGTTTTGTTGCAACTTTTCATTGCAATACTCAGAATAGTTAACATTCCTGGAAAGCAGTGAAGTTCAGAGGGAGGATGATAGAAAAATGTGTTCCAGTAAGTCTTACGTGTTTTTGATCTTCCGACTTTTTCACTTCAGCTAAATGTGAAAACTTTATTTACTTTTTCATTTTCGTCAATTACACCTGTTTGTTGTTTTCGTGCAAAATTGAAAATGCTCATTGTAACAGGTTGATGATGTGGCTCATGTTTCTCAAATCTTTATCAAGTGTGGTTGCCTGGCTAAACACCACCAATATCTTTTTCATCCTTCTGAGACCTTCTCACTATAAGAACTTAAGTATTGGTTGTTTGTTGCCTGAAAAAAAAAAGTTTTTCTGACAGAAGTAGGGAGATGGTTGGGTCCAAAAAGGCGTAGCTTACAACAAAAGTCCACCACCAGAACCGAGCCGAGGACGTTTCGTTCACAGGCTTCTTCTTAACCACAGACATGTCTACCCCAGTGTCCCTCTTAAACCTTTCTGACAGTGATATAGAAAGACTGGAGTCCTACTATGTATTACTACTTACATCCTGTGCTGTTGCTTTGCTTCATTCTGTGGCTGTTTCATTTATTACAGGGATTAAAAAATAATAATACCAGCCTTGTTGTTTTGAATTATTATTGTGTTAAATTTAAATTTAAATTTGTTGGTACATACAATATTACCTTAATATAAACTTAATTATAGTCACAAAACTGACCTTTTCATATCATATCATAATAAACTTATTGGTTTGTTAACGAATTTTTTTTTTGGATGCCGACTACTATTTGTCGGCACTACGTAGAGGCAGATTCTATTTACTGTGCCTGAGGTAAAACCTCCACTGATAGGGGTTTTGTTGTTGGTAATTCTTTTAAGTCAATAACATGTAAGTGCTTCAAGCATATTCCTGTCACCACCTGCTTGTCAAGGGACTCATCAGAGAAGAATGAGGTGTGTGCTTTGTGTTGATTGAGTGCAGATGATCTGCACATATTTCATGCTCGGCTTTCAGAAGCTTTTGTTGTGTGCAGTGCAGAATTTGCCTAACCCCTTGGACTAATTGCAAAGAAATAATAGGATTAGCAATCAGAGATATAGTTATGTACTGAATGCCCACCACCACATAAATTGAGAAACACAGACCACCTACCTCTCATGTAGAGCTGCTGTCTGAAAGGCATAATTATATAATGTGCTTATTTTGCAAATCTGTCTGTAAAATACTACGCCTCCACGGATATTTATCAATGAATTTAATCCAGACTTGCAAGAAACAGGATTTCCTGTACTTACAGTGCAAGTCCCCCATGGAATGTCTGATCACTGTATCCACATTAAAGCTGCATTCATTGATTTTTGTCCCTAGGGGCCAGAAAAAAAGCCTCTAGAACAAGGAGCCAAAACCACAGTCTCCTTTTCTCTTAACTTGTATTTGAATTGATTATTGATTGATTATTATATTATTTAATATTGTTGTATTTTACTCATACTTCCTTTTGCTCGGTGCTTTATACTTGAAGACTGTTTTATTTTTATTTTATTTTAAATTGTTTGTACTTTTTCTATTGTACTTTTGAAAAGTTCAAGCACTGGTGATTCTCATTGGTGATTGATTCTCTGTGAGTTTGTCTCTAGCTGTTTTTTTATTAGCATTGAATCAGCATTGTTTGATTCAATGCTGTCTTTTTAAGATGACTTGGCATTTCTGTTTTATTTGATAGTATAAAGTCTAAAGCTGTCACTAATTTAAGATTTTTCTAATAAACTAGTAGTTGTAAATAAAGCCAATAGTTAACTGATTGTCGAACGTTTATTATATTAATTAAATTATTTAAACATATATATTTTAACAGCTGCCTGTTAAACAATAACGGAAAAAGCAGTTATGATTCTGAATGTGTCAGAACAACCAGCAAGGAGACTGAACATTTAGTTCATTTATTAATAACATGGAACTTCACAAAAATAAATACTCACAGGCTTATAGTCACAATGGATAATGTATAACGTTGACAATTACAATTTAACTTGCTCCAAAGTCACTCCTCTCCCTTCACGCCTTTCCTTCTCCCTCCTCCACCTGAACACGGCGTGTGTCTAGTCCTCTGATGGTGTCAGAGACTGTATTTGGTCCCAGACTCTTCCCATCAACTAACAGTTTACTCGGCTATCAGGAAATGTGGATAAGGGGAGGATGATGATGAGCAGCAAAGGTCAGCCAGATTCAGATCAGGGACTTTGCAACTATTGGAGCTTTAATAATACTACTGAGTAGACACTTTACAGTAACACTTTGTTTCTATTCTGTAATTAAATACACAACTGAGCCAATGTCAGTGTCTACAGTTTCAAGTAACATATGGGCTTCATATTAAATGCTTGAACATTTAAAATGTCAGTGTTAATAACAAGCTTCAGTGCACAGTGGCCCAAAAAGGGTTTCTGAAATGCTGACTACACCTGCGCCAAAGAAAATATCTCTCAAGTGACACAAAGTTTTGTGTTTGGTTTATCTTTTGAGTTTCTAATATGAAATCAAACAAAAAAAAATTCTAGAAGCCGATCTCTGCTTGATTCTAGTGTAGCTCATTGCCTCAAAATTCTCAAATCAAGTTGATTTGTATTTGGGAAATTTTGAAACTGAACTAAAGAATAAGTAACTTGTTTGAAAAAAAATCTGACTTTTAAAGTAGTATGTGAGGTTTTCAGCACATTTGATTGCATCCACAAAGTAAAGTAATGTTTGACATTTAGTGCTTTCTCATGGCTGTTTGGAAGACCTCCAGTCAAGTTTTTGAATTTTACATAAAGATCTGTGTCCTTTGTAGTGCATTAGGTTAAGTCTTGAACCGGACCTTCTCGACTCTCCCACTTCCTCATGCATGCATTAAAACCACAAGAAGATCACAGCCAGTTCCTGATAAGACACATCTGCAGGATTAAGCAAGATTCTTTGGATGCTAAGTGAGTATCCCCTTTTGTTAGAAGGGTTCACTAAATCCCCAGCCTGCCAGCTCGTCAGGTTGTAAAATGTAAACGTTCACTACATGACACTTTTCACCAAACTCTCCTTATAGTCAGTGATGGACTGCAAAATTGTATTACATTTATAACATAAGTTTTAGCTTTTGTCAGTGTAATTGAAATGCAGTGTTTAATTTTGAATTATATCTATCCTTTATACAGAATAACATACAATCAGATAAATGAGAAATGTCCAGAACCTT